ATCGTAAAGGTGTCATTTTCCAGCAGAACAATGCTAGGCCGCACACGTCTTTGTCCGCTCGGCAAAAATTGATGGATATTGGTTGGGAATCGATGTTACACCCGCCATATAGCCCTGATCTCGCGCCATCGGATCACCACTTATTTCGATCCCTGGACAACTCCCTTCGTGGTAAAACTTTTAATGACGATGACGCTGTAAAATCTCACTTAACTCAGTTTTCGGCCGAAAAGGATCAGACTTTCTACGAGCGTGGAATTTTCAAGTGGTCAGAGAGATGGCAAAAGGTCATCGAACAAAATGGAAAATACATTACAGATGAAACTTCGTTCCAAGTAAAAAAAAATTTTCTATTTCATTGAACAAATCGGCGATTACTTAGTTGCCAACCCAATATACGCTCTTCCTATATGAATGGTCATTCTTCGAGGGCGTATATATACGCACATCGGAGCAAAAGGGTTAAGCAGGCTGGCTTTAAGATCGAAAATATCGGGCAATCAATCTAGCACCGATGGTGTCTAGGGTTGAGGTCTCAATAGGACAAGAGCATCGGCTATCTAGCAACTTGGAGTCTTGATGTTACATGACTGGCTAAATCATGGAATTGAGTGCCGAACAATGAAAAGTAGGATCAGTGGCATTAAAGCTCGAATCCATCGGGACGTACAGTTCTAGGTAGTTTAGCTACTGCGGATATAGGGTAAATTTTCTGGCGAAATATCAACTGGACGAGACCGCCGGTCAGTCGCTAAATGTACTGCAGATAGCGTAGCTACATTCTGGAATATAGAATAGGGAACGAGATTATATGCATTGCTGAAAATGGATATCGGATTAATTTGGATTATGTATGAATACCCAGTTCATTGAGAGATGCGTATAGTTAAAATGAATGAGCCCCGCGTTCGTTGAATATGGATGACGCGTGTGATGGAGTGTACTGGAAATATAGAATGATTGATTAGGCCAATAATACAGAGTAGAAATTGGTCTAGGGAAAATAGAGATTGACGGAGTGTTCTGGGCCAGTGAAGGTTGCGTTAAAACTGTGAAAGTCTGGAGGAAGGAACAAGAATTTAGAAACTGGCGAAATTATACAGGGTATCCCAAAATGATCGTATAAGCGAGAAATGAGGGATTCCTGAGGTTATTTGAAGCAACTTTTTCCCTAGCTGTAATACGATCCGCGGCTTCGTTTGTGAGTTATTAACGAAAAACAGTGACCAATGAGAAGCGAGATTAGCAGGCGCGAGGCGACCGAGCCGAAGCCCGCTCATTGGCTCGCTGATAACTCAGAAACGAAGCCGCGGATTCCATCTTCGCTAAGAAAAACGTTACTTTATATGACCTCGGAAGTCCCTCATTTCTCAATTATACAATAATTTTGGGACACCCTGTAGAGTACTGCGATGCGTATATATGTAGTCATACCGTTTCGTCTTACTATTTATTTAGGTTTACGCTGAGTTGCCGGCGAAGGGTTAAATATACCATATCGGCATTATGCCATGTGGAAATATGAATATTTTATCGTATTTTGGAAAATAGAAAGTTCTCTTTCATCCGTTTCGATTTGCAAGAAAAGATATTTAGTGAGAAAAATGATTTATGGTGCAGTCTACACCATCTAACAACATATTAGGTTTCTCAAATATTGTTTCTCGCAAATGGAGTCAAATGAAAGAGAACCACCTATTCTTCAAAATACTATAATATAATAATAAAAATCCATTCAATTCACATCATCCCTAATTATATTCGATTGATTTAAATTTCTAAGTAATTAGCGAAGTAATTAGCTGAAAGCTAATAATTTGTCAATGATCATTTGACCAAACACTTCGTCAAACATCTCGATTATGAGTTATGGTAGCCTCGCGAATATACAAAATCTTCGTACACAAAATTAATTCTTTCGTAAATTATATCCACCCTTTTTGTAAATTTACTCCAGAGATCAAAGTTGGTCAGCTTTAAATGAAATTAAAATTTTAAATTAAATTGAATGTTTTAATTCGATATGAATATATGATATATACTTATCTGTCGAATATTAACAATGTTCATTACAAATAATTAATCTTTATAAACCGGCAAAAACTATTTAGAAAATGTTATTCAAGCTTTAAGTTTAATATGAACGTTATTAGAAACAATTACAGACAAGCAATTCGCAAATTTTATTTGCAAGAAGGTGAACAAATTCCGCGCAAGGGTAACTTTTATTTGCACAAACATGAATATGACCTACAAAAGGAATAATTTCGAGTGCAAAACGTATCAAAAAACAAGAAGTGCACAGTGAGATATTTTATGACTAAAATAATAGAAGATATTCGTAGAAAGTAGATGGTAAGATATGATTGGAAAAACTTTGAGAAATTATCATCGACGTAAGCATCAGGAGGCTTCATTGATAAGAACTATCGCTTAAGGCTTAAGGGTACAAAAGAGAAGCGTACGGCCATATTTGAGCGAATGGATGGACGCGCGAGAAATAAAGACTAGATAAAAATGGCGACCTCCGGCTTGGTTAATGCGCGCAGGTTAATGCAGCAGTTCGAGAAAGAATGGGGAAAAATTCCAACGTACCTTTTGTTCTCGGAGCTGCGCCTCGAGAACGTCGGCGGTGTGCCCCACAGCCTGCATTTTCTCCAGTCGAGTTTCCATTCGCACAAGCCAGACTTCCACCTCGTTCCTCTTGGCCTCGTACCGCTGACTGTCCCCCAGCATTGCGTCCAACTGTGTTTTCCTTTGCATCACTTTCGAGTTCGTCTCGTCCCAATGTTCTCTCAGCTTCGTAACTGCAACAATGATCATGAGCAAAACATGAACTTCGGGCTCGTCTGCTTCTTCGCTTAAAATCACCAACGGTAATATTTATTTATTTATACAGGGTGGGGCATTTTAAACGGGTCACCTGAATAACTCGCTTGGTTTTGAAGATAGGAGAAAACGCATTGGACCAAACTTACTTGGTATCGGGAGGTTCATAATCTGGAATCGCCAATTCTTCTGTAGGTGCAGGCGTCAAGGAGATATAAAGGTCAATTCTGTTTTTTTAAATGGAACAGTAAGTTTTCATATATATATAATCTGGTATTACCAATTTTTCTGTAGGTGGAGGCGTCAAGGAGATACGAAGGTCAATTCTGTTTTTTTTAAATGGAACAGTAAGTTTTTTACTTACATTCTGATAGAGTGTTTCGTGGCGAATGCAATGAACTATTATGAAGGTCATTCAAGGTCACCCAAAGTGACACAGGAAAGCAAAGCTAAAATACAGTAAAATGGCAAATAATCGCACAAATTTGTTTATAAATCTAATCGAAAAATAATGTCATCTATTTACTTGTGTGCAATTTTTATCGTCATAATGTAAAAGCTGAGATCAAGGCCAATGCAACGACCACAACACTATGACATTTAGGACGAAAAGTCCAGAAATATTTACGACATTTCTAAAATATTCTAATGTGTATATATATATATAATCCGGATTTTTCGTTCGTTATCTCGTTTTCTAAGTGAAGCGTTAATTAATTTTGAAAACCATCGAGAAGTCCCTTTGTGAAGTTCAGCTTGACAATACATTTGCATTGACAGTATTTCTACCCTTAGAACCTAGTTTCCACGCAAAAATATTTATAACGATTCTGAGATAACGTAATTTTTCTTCGAGACACAGCATACTTGTTGATTTAGGAAGTCTTTTACTTGGAAACTGCATTTCAAGGAAAACAGGATGGAGAATTGAATGCAAAACAGTAAAGAGATGATGAAAAGACTGAAGTATTATCATTGCATTATTTCAAACTCTTTGAAGTTAATTCGTATTTAACTCCAATGTTTTGCAATCGCAAAGAATACTTCTATTTTCAATAAAAATCCATAATCTACTTGTAACAAAACTCTTCTCTTATAATCAACAAACCGATAATCCCTCTTATCGTAGAAGGCAAATAATAATAATAATAAATGATAAAAGAACATCGTAGATATTGAACATTGAATTACAGTCATGCTATTATTTCTAATAATTTCATAGCTTACGCATGATTTCACTGTATTACTCTTTCAAATATTAAAACTTTGTTAAACCACTCGACGAGCACATACTGAAAAATCCACAGCGATCAAACGTAATTAAAAACGAACGAATTCTTTGCATTCATAAAACGGAAATTCCTCTTCAAACGGTTAAAAATGAACTTCCACTACAAAGTCAATCGAAAAAACGCACGCTATGAAAAACCAGTCATTAGTTTGCCACATTTTTTGTTCCAACGTTCACCGCGAACGCCAGGAACGCCGACTAGACAGGACTCCGGGGTAAAACGGTTCAATTATTAGGTCTACTTATTATTAGGTCTATTATTAGGTCTATTAGAGTGGCAATCCCTGCTACATTCGGAATAATTAGGGAGAGAATACTGTATCAGCAACGTGAAATAATATTTATCTCATAATTAGGAAATATTAGGTCTACCGGAAAGTTCTGTCCGATGGTGTCACTTCAAGTTTCAATCCATACACACATGTTGATTCGAGACATATATGACTATCTCTCTTTATCATTGCATTCACACACATGTACTCTCCTAAATAAACTGAAACAAAGATGTCTCGTGTCATTATTAAGCGAGACGCGATCGTGAAAACATGGCTACNAATTTTTCTGTAGGTGGAGGCGTCAAGGAGATACGAAGGTCAATTCTGTTTTTTTTAAATGGAACAGTAAGTTTTTTACTTACATTCTGATAGAGTGTTTCGTGGCGAATGCAATGAACTATTATGAAGGTCATTCAAGGTCACCCAAAGTGACACAGGAAAGCAAAGCTAAAATACAGTAAAATGGCAAATAATCGCACAAATTTGTTTATAAATCTAATCGAAAAATAATGTCATCTATTTACTTGTGTGCAATTTTTATCGTCATAATGTAAAAGCTGAGATCAAGGCCAATGCAACGACCACAACACTATGACATTTAGGACGAAAAGTCCAGAAATATTTACGACATTTCTAAAATATTCTAATGTGTATATATATATATAATCCGGATTTTTCGTTCGTTATCTCGTTTTCTAAGTGAAGCGTTAATTAATTTTGAAAACCATCGAGAAGTCCCTTTGTGAAGTTCAGCTTGACAATACATTTGCATTGACAGTATTTCTACCCTTAGAACCTAGTTTCCACGCAAAAATATTTATAACGATTCTGAGATAACGTAATTTTTCTTCGAGACACAGCATACTTGTTGATTTAGGAAGTCTTTTACTTGGAAACTGCATTTCAAGGAAAACAGGATGGAGAATTGAATGCAAAACAGTAAAGAGATGATGAAAAGACTGAAGTATTATCATTGCATTATTTCAAACTCTTTGAAGTTAATTCGTATTTAACTCCAATGTTTTGCAATCGCAAAGAATACTTCTATTTTCAATAAAAATCCATAATCTACTTGTAACAAAACTCTTCTCTTATAATCAACAAACCGATAATCCCTCTTATCGTAGAAGGCAAATAATAATAATAATAAATGATAAAAGAACATCGTAGATATTGAACATTGAATTACAGTCATGCTATTATTTCTAATAATTTCATAGCTTACGCATGATTTCACTGTATTACTCTTTCAAATATTAAAACTTTGTTAAACCACTCGACGAGCACATACTGAAAAATCCACAGCGATCAAACGTAATTAAAAACGAACGAATTCTTTGCATTCATAAAACGGAAATTCCTCTTCAAACGGTTAAAAATGAACTTCCACTACAAAGTCAATCGAAAAAACGCACGCTATGAAAAACCAGTCATTAGTTTGCCACATTTTTTGTTCCAACGTTCACCGCGAACGCCAGGAACGCCGACTAGACAGGACTCCGGGGTAAAACGGTTCAATTATTAGGTCTACTTATTATTAGGTCTATTATTAGGTCTATTAGAGTGGCAATCCCTGCTACATTCGGAATAATTAGGGAGAGAATACTGTATCAGCAACGTGAAATAATATTTATCTCATAATTAGGAAATATTAGGTCTACCGGAAAGTTCTGTCCGATGGTGTCACTTCAAGTTTCAATCCATACACACATGTTGATTCGAGACATATATGACTATCTCTCTTTATCATTGCATTCACACACATGTACTCTCCTAAATAAACTGAAACAAAGATGTCTCGTGTCATTATTAAGCGAGACGCGATCGTGAAAACATGGCTACCGATGATAATGCCAGGCCACATGCTGCTTTGGCGACTCGTCAGAAAATCGCAGAGCTAGGCTGAGAAATTCTGTCACATCCACCATACTCCCCGGACCTAGCACCCTTCGATTATCCCTTGTTTCTCTCTTTGCAAAACTTTTTACAGGAAAAAAAATTCAAAACTGAAGCTGACGTCAACCAAGCACTAGTCGAGTTCTTCGCCTCTAAAAATAAATCATTTTTTAAAAATGGCATTTACAAGTCGCCATCGCGCTAGCAAGAAGTCGTAAGTAACGATGGAAAGTATATTCTACAATAAATATTATTAAATGTATGAAAATTGTGTTGTATTTCAATTCAAAAACGGACAGAACTTTCCGGTGGACCTACTAGCATGCCATAAAATGTTCTATGGGAGAACTGTGGTGGAGGTGGAGAACTATCGATAGCACTATTGTTACCGAAAACTGTCGAATGTTTTTTTTACTATCGATAGCTCTAATCAGAGTGGCCAACTTCTTAAAACTAGTAAATACATTTCGAATCTTTCTATCCTATTTTGATGATATGTTTATTAAAATACTTCCTACTATATAGAAGTGAACTGAAAAATGCCTTAAATCCTCTACCGGAGGAGTTATGCCAAAAATACTTTTGCACACCGGCTTCTTTGGTAAAATATTTAGCAAAGTTGCATTAACACGTTCCGTGCCACGTGTACCATCGATGGTACACGCTTGCATGTTTACTTAGTGAACTGAACAAATTGTTTACAAGAAATTTAGAACCGAAGAATCAATTTCCACCGCAAGAATGGGCGTTGATAAGTTTTTGTTATGTTGTTATGTGTACGAGAATTAATATAATTGCACGTAATACATCAAGTTTTAGTAAAATATCAAAGTGTGAAGATTCGAGTAAAAAAAGCTCGGCACGGAACGTGTTAATAATACCCGACCGGCGGTTCAGACTGAAGCCAAAACATGTCGGCACCCTCATTTTTTCAAACGAAAACAAGTTGCCATCGCGCTGGCAAGAAGTGATAAGTAACGATGGAAAGTATATTCGACAATAAATATTATTAAACGTATGAAAATTGTGTTGTATTTCAATTGAAAAACGGACAGAACTTTCCTGTAGACCTAATATATCCGCAGCGTTGAAATAACAGCGAGGATCTGTATACAGGATCGAGTAGCCGTTCAGGGATGAAACGTTCATTCGGCGATTTCGACGACGCTTGAAATAAAGGCTGCATGAATAAAGTAACCGATGAAACTATCGAAGAATAATTCCAATTAACCGGTCGTTTGACTTGCTCGTGCCGCGCGGGGTTGCATTATTCATGGTGCCGCGGTGGAACAGAAATATTAAATAAACCCACGTGGAATTATATGTATAATCGGTGCGGTTTGTCCGATGAAACAGGCGAACGGTCCGATTCATCGATATCGTCCGGGTGGAAATTCGCTCAGTAAATATTCAAACACGCGAGCGGGACGAATGCACACGACGCGACGCGCCGCGCGGCTCGTTAATCGTAAAATCGTACGCAGAGCGAGCGAGGCTCGCTCGCACGGCACGTGTC